CCAACAAAGCCCCCAACCTTCTTTGTTGGTTCCATTTCCTCCATTTCCATTAATTTGCTTTTTAATATGAATCCGTGTTATCAGTACTGATAAATACAAGTTCATATGCTGCCATTTATCATTCCATTTAATTGACAGATAATTTTTCTCTCATCAAGCAATGTTTTAATGAGACAAAGGATTAATGATGAACATCCATTCTGTGAGAGAGAACATTCAGTCTTCAGACTTCAAGATAAGAAAACTGTTACTCTGAGTTTTTTTTTCAAATATTTGTACTCAACATTATGTAATTGATTGCTCTAATCCTTTTTTTTATTTTTTTTTTTTGGGGGGGGGGAAGGGGTAAAATATAATCACATTCAAGATATAAGTATCTGAGAGTGCATTGTTTTCAGTCACAAGCAATTTAAAGCCACCACAAGAACTTCATTATTACCGAGAACTCACTGACCATAAACTGAACAAATAGAATGCACTAGTGGGAATATAATGCTATTTTTGCATTATCAAAATTAAGGCTAAAGTTTCAGCAATTACAGGAACAATATGAACAAAAGGCTGGCCTTCAAGAAATTCACATCTATAGATCATGTAAATAATGTGGGTGTCATATGAGATATAATGGGCAAAGTGGGGGAATTATCCCATAATCACTGGCATGGAAAGTTGGGTGATTGAATGTCAAGTATCATGCAAAGGTTGTGATTCCTCCCATGTTCCCTGAAACTTGCGTTTTTGGGGTCTATATCTATTACTGTATTTATGTTATTATATTTCATAACACATAAAGCAGTAATAGAAATCTAATTTTGTAAGCAGTAAGTGCATGCACGTGTGTACGTGTGTGTACGTGTAGCCATGCACATATGATCTAATCCTAGTATTGAAGGTATTTAACATAGTGTAAAGACACCATGGAATACGCATCATCTGCACTGGTGGGTTTTGTTGGGTTTTTAATGAAGCATGCAAATAAAAAGAAGCCTAATTGATAGCCTTAGTCTATTTGTCAATGCTGAGAAAATTGGGAATGAATCAAGTATGGAGTCTTCAATGTTGACATAATGCTTGGTAGCTTATCATTTAAGTCCAAGTAATCAATACACTCTGTGTCACAGAATTACATTCAACAGAACTTGAGTACTCCAAAGTCGTGAATAATTTATGCAAATCATCTCGATCCTGCGACTTGAGCTACGAAAAAAATGGCCATATGAGATTCTCACACTGACCTGACCCCAGGAGATGACCAGGAGACACTCAGACAGCTTATTCTCAATAACATATCTTATTTATTATAATCCACCCATTTGCAGTAGTCGGCATGTAGAACTGATACATGATACATTTTATCGGTTCAAACACGCCTCAGCGTTCATATTCACACTATCTTACATGAAGGGGATCAGAATCAATTTTAGACCCAGAGATCTGAGGACTGCCTCTGCATTTCTCATCATCAACTTGATTTTCTTTCATACATGAAAACACTGGGATTGAACCAATCATGGATAAAAGTGTTTTCACAAGCCAGGTGCACAGAAAGGCTGGGAATGTCAACTATTCACAATCAATACCAAAAACAATACCTTCAAAAACAAAAGTAATTTTTAATATGCATATACCTGGCATGGTAGATATATTTTCTTACAAAGGCGAAGAGGGTGGGGCCGATAAAGGAAAATCAGTAACACCTGATGCGGTTAACTATCAATTTCATCACAATAATGGCGATATCAAACATGTTTTTGCGCAGCAATGGGCCTATAAGCACAGCAGTGCAGTGCAAACACCTTTTGCTGTACATCATCTCTATCTCTTCAGAGCAAGCTCTGGCACATATTAAGCATCACTGAGTGTCCTACACAAATATGGCCAGTATTATTAGAATCTGCATGCATGGAATTGTTGAGGTAGTTCTCACAGGTGAAGGGGCAAAAGCCCTTAAATGATGGCCCATCAATCCTGCTGTCTAAACAGAAGTGTTCTCCAAGCCAATTCTGCCAATTATATTTAAAGCAATGGCTGAAAACAGTCTAAATATTGAATCCCTATCCATTTCAGACAGCAGTTGCCTTTCCACATGTCATATGCAGCTATCATAACAGAATATGCTTTTGCCATCTCTCTGCACTGTTCCATGCAGACCTTTGGTACATTAATGTTGAAATGTATCACAGAACTTCCATGCCTAATTCAAAACAACCATGCTGTTTTAAATACAGAATACAGGTACATGGTCTGAAAGGTTCTGAAGTCATTAGGTAATGGTTCTACTGTGTTTGTGTGGTTGGAGAAGGTGGGAGATATATCAATCATTTCTAGATCTCTTCCACCAATAATTACTCTAAACTTGGACCTTAAAACCCATTTCCAATATCAAACTACCAGCACCACTGCACAGGTGTGTTGGCCAGATAATCAAAGAACTCAAAATTACTGCCTCTGAATTTGGATTGGGATTGGTCTTACTTCCTGAAGACTCTGGTCTTCTATTTTGTTTAGAAATGGTATCTTCTAGTGTGCCAATTGTTTTCAGCAAAAACAAACAAAAACTGGCATCTTTTTCAGCCTGAGTGATCAGTATCTGCACTCAAATGTACCCAGTTGTTTAGTCTTAAAATCAGTGCTGGAAATGGGAATTCTACTCGATCATTCAGCGTATTTCCATTCTGTTTACAATTATCTGCCTGTCAGGGACATTAGTATCAACTTTGGACTAAAGTATCACAAACTTTTCTACCTGAATAATTAATGAAAACTGAAAGTTTGAGCCTCTGGGTCTAATAGGATATATTGTAATTAGATGAAAATCAATCAGCCAGCCTAGCCCTGAATTTCCACACTTGTTAGTCCAACCCAACCAATATACACACACCGGCTTGCAGTCTCCCTTTTGGAGATCAATAACAGGAAAGTTAACTTTGTCGCCATGTGCCGCATAGTAGAGTAACCTTGCATGGGTCTTTTCTCAAATTTATAGCTAAAATAGCCAAGTTGATCGACTTAAGGGACGTTTTGAAGTGCCTAACACAGCAAGGAGCTCCTCTAATTGCCTGTTTCTGTGAGCAGGCAGTCAGGCTGATTATGCATATTTCTTCCCTCTAAACTCGACCATTACAAGTCAGCAGGATCAGGGGACACATTTCTTTAAGCCATGATGCTGGAAGGAGACACAAGACTTTATACTGATGTGGCCATTACTTTTAATATTTTTCTGTACTGAACATTCCAGAAATCCATCAGTCATTCTATGCTGCTCTCCATTATTCAACTCAATACATATTGCTGGCATAGGAATTGCCACAATAGTCAACCAATACATCACACCAGTAACATGTCAAACTCGAGTATGATTCCTGTGTATGGACTTTTTTTTTTTTTGCTCCTACATATCAATCATGTATTGTAGACAGGCCAGAGAGCAGCCATTAAAACGCACTGTTCTGGTACAGACTTTGAGGTTGGGTATCATTGTGAATAATGAATTATGAATATAGCATTTAGCTTTACTCTTAAGCTATAAATGTCAAGCAGAGTTGCATGATCAAAGAAAGCAAAAGCCAAGCCCAGCACTCCAGTCATGAGAAAAGGGTGTATTGTAGCAACATTATTTCTGTTTTTCTGCTTTGTCTTCTCAATCATTTGTTCATGTTATTAAATGGTACCATTTTATAAATAACTTGTGTATGTACTATATTAGTGTATTTTATTCCTATGTGTGCTCTACCCTTCAGGCTAAATGTATAAAAGCATAACCTCTTGAACCAAAAGTACTCTGCATTCTAAGGAAATTAGAATTTTGGTGACATGGGAGTGCTCAGTATCTCTTTTTCTTTTAGGTTGAAACTGTTAATTTTTATCCACCAATCCAGGTTCAATTTTTTCTGTTTTCCCAAATGGCAGGCCTTGAGGATAGATAGCAGGGTTTCGAGCAAAAGCTCTTCTGTGCTTTATCACACAGCTGATCAGTGCTGGATCGTGAACAATTAGATTACATGCTCTTAGCATTCAGAGGAGTGCAAGGAGAGTAAAAAAATCTTATTTCCCAAAACAGGATTAATTACACAGCTTAAAGAATGTGCTGGGACACAATGAAAACTGGTTTTAAAAAGGCGAAGGTTTTTCCTGGATACTCTGGTATGAAATTTTAAAGAAACATCAAAAGTAACTTTGGATCTTAGTGAACCCCTCACAATTCACTGACCCATGTGTACCCCTTGCACTCCTCCCCTCAAAATGTGAAAAAAAAAATTAATTTTTTTACAGATATAAATCACAAGTAACTATTTCATGTAATAAATCTCAGACTGAGAGAAACCTCCTCCTAACCACCTAGCCATCTGTATCAAGAAAGGCTCAGTATCAGAGCAGAAGAGGGGTCAGGATGGTGTGCTTTTACCCAGTGAACCATTAAAATAGAACCATATATATACCACAATTTGCCTTATTCATTAACCAAAATCAACTGCCCCCGAATGATTAATTTCTGATTGAATTTCTTGGTATCCTTTACATGTCTGATGTCAAGTTACACCTTTCCAAATACAGGTGTGCATTATCGAACAATGACACCGCATTTCATTATTTCCTTGCATGAAAGAAAGTAATTTGTATCTATTCTAAAAGCTTTCATGTCCACCGATATTCAGGGCCTGAAACAATCTCAGATTAAACAGTAACCAAATCAAACAAGGAATTCAATTTGATCATAAAATGGATAAAAGCAGTGTCAGGCCTGACATTAAACCACATGATCTACTAGCACTTAGCTGTCAATCTCATGTATTTCAATGAGGGAGAAGGCAGAAGGCATTCTAGGTAATGTTACACTATGAGACTCACTTGACAGTTAAACGATTTCTCACTGCTTGTGTAATGTCCAAATACTTCACTAATGGGATTTCATTGAAAGTGATGGCTAAGGACTAGCGGGAGATTTCTCAATAACACAAAACCACATTTGAAAAATATGATAAAATTAAAGGTGTACTCACGTAAATTTCCATCGTCCGCTTCTGACAATCGACAGGAGGCCAAGCATAATGTTGCTAAGAAGATGAGAACTTGGTCCCCTAAGCTAGGCTTCATTGTAATTTGCCAGCGCTTAGCTTACCTAGAAAACATACACGAAACAAATGGTAAGAATACTGGCCTGACTGGACCCTACTACTACCAGTTGTCAACAACCCTCCTTCCTCTTCTCTCCCTCTCTCTGCTGCTGTTCTGGGCACTCCTGAATGGTAATCCTGAGTAGAAAGAAACCTTGCTTCAGTTAGTACTGGTACTCCATGTGACTTGGAATTCCCCTCTTGTCACTGTAGAATATAGTTCAACACCTCTCTACATCCACTGCCATGCAGCTTTGTGTATACACTTACAAACACTCACACACAGTACAGTAAGATATTAATTATTCATGTGCAAGCCTCAGTCTGGTTCAACAAAGGAGCCAATCAAGTTTGAGCTAATTCACCTATTGAGCAAGGTAGTGTGACAGGCAAAATAAAGGCTGGTAAATGTTACTCCTGCCTTTACAAGTGACCGCCATGAGCCTGTAATAAAAGTGGACTTTGTAGAAAAGAAGGTGTGAATTTCTCCCCAACCTATAGCCTAAGGGATTACAACTGAATTGATTGGGACTTGTGCCAACAGATAACAATCAACAATATCCCATTCTATACCAGCCGCAATCAAAAAAGAACATATCTCATATTTCTGTGCTTCTTACAGGATGTCAATGCTGCTCATGATTATAAATCAAAATAAATACAAAAGAAACAAGACAATAAGGACTATAAAATTGTTTTATGAGTAAAATGACTCACATTACGTTGACAGATTTTCAGCTCATGATAAAATCACAGCTGATCACTAGAAAGTTATAATTTCATTACTTATTGCAGGAAGATTGACACAAATTTGATAACCTAATCAAAATTAAATCATGCAATTGTCAGGATAAAGACTCGGCTAGCATAGAGCAAAACCGCTAATACAGTTTTTTTAACAATTAAGAGCTGCAACTGCAGCTGGAGGAATTTTTTAAACTGATGTTCCAATGAGTCATAGTTTTTTTTTTTTCTAATTTTTCTTTTGAAGTTTTTACACAAGTCGCTATGTGCTTGTTGTGAAACATAATAACTATGAATAAATATTAATAAAAAATACTCCACTAAATAAATCAAATACCTTTTTCACTAGTAAAAATTAAAAAAAATAATAAATCAACATCCTAAAACTTTGCCTTTACTGTTCACAAAAAGGACTGAGTCATCCTTGTATTACCTTCGCTAAACCTTGTAAAAAAAAAAAAAACCTTCCGACCCATGGTAAAATACCGCAAAATAGATGAATAAACGACACAGAAAAGCTGTCCTGACAGACTGAATGAGCTCAGACAGAAAGTCAGCAACCTAATAGCTGTGCCCTTTGTGTTGAACATTTCCATCACATTGTGGTCACACCATGTTTTCTCTTTCACTTAGTGCAAGTAAAGGCAAGAGTGATTTAACTCCACTAAATTATCTATATTCAGCCATTTGTTAAACCATTTTTTCTCTTTAAACCAATGCACTATAAGGTCAATGTTCACATAAGGTATTACCCTTGCAATTAATATTGGATAGAGTTTATCAATATTCACAATGTTATATAAACCATAAAAGGCTTTTTAGATTTATTTCAATATTTCACACAAGACAATATACACGGGGGTCTAGCTTATCATGGGCATAATGAGTCACTCAATCAATTGTTCATCAAAACTAATGCAGATACCTTGTCAATGAAGTCATCAATGAAGTCATTAGTACAACCTGGCGTAATAACATTACATGTGAAAACGTAATGTCATTATCAATATCAAAGACAAGCTATTAATTTCTCAAACGTCCAAATTATGCCACAGAGTTGGTCGTTTTGATGACTGAGGGAGACATCTGTCACAAGGCAGAACTGGGAAGACGGAACACGTGTGGATATCAATGTAGTACTACTCATTCTACACCTGGTGACACGAGTATTGGATTGCTATCATCCATGTGTAAGTCTTCATGTGCATACAAGCCAGAACCACAAAACTCTCTCTTTATCAAAAATATTTCAAATATCTTTCTTTTCTGTAAAAATCTCATTTTTGTAAATACAGCTTTATTTTCTGCAGATGAAAAATGTTTACATCCTTTTTTAAAAAACATCTACTGTGAATATTAGAATAAATTTTGTTTTATTTCAAAAGTATTATGGAGCATTAAGAAAAATGCAAAGATAAATCAAGATAGAATGCACTGTAATTTTTAGTGGAGGAAATGAATGTTGCATTTGGCAGGCTAATAACTATTCCTCATTTCCATCAAATAATACTTAAAATTTCATGAATATAACCCTGAAGAGAACTGTCTGGTCAGAAACTGTAGCCGAAGAAAATGTCACTCTCAATTCCCGAGATCTTGTCTATTTTTTCTCCTAGGTCAATTTCAAATTCTGACTTTTTTCTATTGGGACCATTTTCTTTGCGTGATGCATGTAAAACAGCATATTAGCTTAACATACACGTTGCCGATGTGCTGCAAGGGGACTGAGCCTATCCAAAAACCAAAGCCATTATTGATAGCAAAATTAAAGAAAACCAGTAGCACAATTTGTACTCAATCAGGATTGCAGCAAATGAAAACAAACGACACACCAGAAACTTGCATACATTGCATATATGTGCTGCCCCCTATTGACAGGAACAATAATTGTGGTAGAGCAGACTTGAATAAATCAAACCAACATCTGTATAAAACCTGTACGATAATTAAACAGCCAGAAATAAAACACAGCATCAATTCTGTCCTTAGATGATCTTATTTGTAAAATTATCTTCACCTCTTTTTTCTTCCGATAGGCATAAAAATTTGTAAAGAACTTGCTGCCATGGGATTGAAGTATTTTAATAGTGTTCTACAACAACACATTTTATAAGGTTCTACAACAACTTGGTCATGACTCAGTAACCTCAGGCTAACTTAATTTAAAATATCACATCTTAAATTGGTTCAATCATATCTCAGTAAAATCCCTAAATAATTAAATCAAATTAACAATAAACACTTCCTGAAGACAGATCTCACTGTTGGTAAGGCATCAAAATATGTTGAATTTCAAATACGCCTAGGAGCTATTTTTCATAAATAAACAAATACAAACACAAACCTACTTACATCAAACAAACTGGACGTGAGAGTCTGAAACCAAATTCCCACCACTGTCTATTGAACCTTCTATCACAGACCACTGCGTCATTACTCACAGCTACCTGTGCACACAAATATAAGAGGACTTTGGAAAAACTGTCCCCCTGATGACTCACCAGGGCCTCACACAATACTAACAGTAGTGCTTTTGACATCTCAATAACACAGGTATGCAGAGAGAAGGGATCCAGTTTCCCAATGGAAAAGCAAAACGGTTAAAATTTGATACTTCAACCACCTGCAAAAATCTCAACCGATTAATTTTCAAAAATCCTGACCTTTGTTATTTTGGCAAACTTATTGGTGGCTGTTAAGTTGATGACAAGATTTTTTAGCTGCTTAGTATTCACCACAAGTACAGCAACCACTCAAAAAGTTCTTTTCAGAGTTGAAAAAGTATAACCCAAATTGTTCTTGAAATTAGACATCAGAGCTTCTTGGGTTTCTATGATAGACAATGCCCTCTATTGATAACAACAAAAACAAAGGGAAAAATTCTTAAGGAGCTGGAACAGGTGGGTTGGACACTCTATTATTCACTCAACCTTTACAAACACACATGTAGTGCTCACTTGTCAAAAACTCCAAAATGTTTCCAATATCGTAACTTCTCTTATCCTGAATCCTGGCCAGTCACTACCAGTATTACATCCAAAAGTGATACGAATTATCAAGAAAATGGCCTTGCACAGGGACCTGGATGGGCCGTTATTTCAAACCCTGCCATCAAGCACGTACCGAATAATCTCCATTAGGCACAAGATAAGGAATATCAGCCTGGCAGCAAACTCTGTATACTTTACAATGATAAATAAACATCTCAGGTACATGTTAAGTCACATATCCAATTCAATATGGGAACAACAACAGAAACATTCACTTTCTATCAAACCACCAAAACCTGATAAGCTTAAAGTGATTACTTGCTTACATGCGGTTCCTCATATATCCGCAAGCCTTTCCATTAAACTGCTCACTTTATCTATTAAAACACACTAATCTACCTGCATAGATGTCCAACATAAGGTGTAATTCACGAGATGTTTCACGCTTACAAATCTAATTTAGGTTACACACTCATTATTTAAAGAAAATTCCTAAAGAAAAAAAATGTTCAGTGGAAAATGAGACTGACCCAGGCATAAAAAAATATTTTCTGTTAAATCATGAATAATAACATCTTGCCTAGAGAAGAGTCATATCAAATACTGTGTACTACTTCTATAGAACCCTACATGAGACTGCCACTTGGCATACCTTCTTCAGTAAAGGAGAAATATTACATCACAGCTTCTATAGACATTACCACACCAACTGTGGAAAGTAAACAATGAGTAGATCCAAGCTCTTTCTAAAAATTGGCTTGTACCAGTTCAGTTTAAAGGACTGAAATAGGGAAAAGTTCTACCACGGAAACTGTGCACTGCTCCCTCTCTGCCACCACCAACACCAATGATCACGCATCAAATTTTTATGCATTTTCACGGAATAAATCAATAGAAATTATTTCCAACTGCCAATTCTGATGTGTGCATTTAGCACAAATGTCTTTTATCTATGAACTGTGTACAAAATGACATGATAATGACCAAGAATTTTTGTTTTAACCTCAACAGGAAATATTCAATATCTTAATATTTGAATATCAGGAAAATATGTGGGATGACACAGAAAACATTAGGAAACAGTAGCATGTCATTCAACCCACTCTCTTGCCTTCTAACCAGGTATTAAATTTGGTGATGGGGCCTCGAGCAAAATGGCTTGGATATATTCCGGTTAACAAAAGATGCTGACTCAGTTTTAAAATATCCACCCCCTACCTAACAGAAGGCTAATTTCACATAATATAGCTAATACATGGATACCTTGCATGTGGTCACACAATGATAACTTTGTTTAACGATAAATGCTCGGTTCCACTTGCCAAATCAGCTAGTGGGAAAAAATTGTCCCTGTCAATTTGTCGAAATAGTACCAAACATTTTACGAATTCATTTTCTCCATCCCATCCTTACATAAAACTGGTTGATGCATGGACACATTTTTCAAGGGTTTATAAATTAATCAGGAAAATGTGTAGAAACTTAAATAGTAAAATCAAACACTGACTCAGTCTATCAACAGTACACATTCTCACCAACACAAACAGCTAAAGAAACTGGGATTTGATCTCAACTTAAAATGTAATCTGCTGCCAACATTACTTTTTTGTTCATTTAAATTCTAATACAATCTTGTCTCTACTTAAATCCCAGGTAAAAAAAAAAAAGATTAAAATACCTTAAGCTCCTTACCTGCTGTAAGAAAACTGAAGTGCCTTCTTTAAGCTAGTGTATTTTAATAATACCATTGGAAGACTAGCGAAGCTTTTTATTTACAAGTTATTATTAGTACTGACAGTATCCACAATGGTGTTTGCTGTTGGAGTTGTTACCATGGGATATCAGCTGAAAATAATAGATGGGTGGATCCCACTTGTCTGAACTAAAAATAACTGATTTCAACACCCACGGTACATTTATTTCACACTTTTTTGCTGACCCTTAATTTCAAACAAACCATTCTATACAATATAACTCTTTTTATAAAGTAATCTATACAACAATAACTGATATAATTTTATTTCTACTTTTTTTGCCTTAGGACCTTTAAATATAGACTGAACCTTCCATGACAGCTTGTTTTGTTCATTAGCTAAACAGTAAAACTGGTGTTTTTATAATTTCTTATGCCCTTGTAACTAAGGAACAATGGGATCCTTTATGTCCTGTTTTGACACTTATTTTCGTTTTCTATCATATTTGGGACCCCTTCTGAGAAGATATGACAACTGTTCTACTTGTTCAACTCTTGTAACTTTCTAATGTCAGAGTAACAGAAAAATATTGTGGTTCATTACAACACGATTATGTTTTGTTTGTGGCTGGACATTATGTTTATATACCATGAATCACCTTTTACTTTTACAAAGTTCTAAGTTTTTTTTCACACCAATTAAAATGCGTCACGGCACATGGTTCATTTAATGACTGTAACGGCAGATCTAACTGCTTTCACCACATGCTAGGCATAATTCCCACCAGCAATGGTTTTTGTTCCCAAACTGATTCTCAGTCTTGTTAAGACATACATTTTGTGACTTAACTGACTTTTTTTGTAAATAATGTAGATGAACTTTTTGGGAAAAACACTTTATTTTAATGAACAAGCAATGTGAAAGGGTTACTTTTTCCTTCAACATCAATATTCAGCTTCACAATGGAAACTTGACCTTGTCTACAGTGAGAAAATGTAGACTTTTTTTAATACCAATAATTAACATTCTTTAATTATAAAAGTTTAAGAGGGAGGGTATGACACACATTCTTTTTTCTTCAAATTATCTTCACATATCAATAATCTGGTTCAGGTCCACATTGGATAACAACATATTTATAAACAATATCACATTAAACCATAAATTTACCCCACATATATTCTGACACTTACCAAAATGTCTTGATTTGTGGCATATCAAACCACAATAATTCATAAAACTGTGATAACATACAAAAAATGCAAATTTTGAAATGCCAACATGTGACACTTTCAGTCTACAATATGTGACTTCAGACCACAGCTTTGTTAGCAATAATCAAGCACATTTGGTCACCACATGGTAATGAACTGAACTATTTACTCCACATAAAAACCACTACTTGCCATTATTCACCTCCAATAGAACTTGTTCAAAAGTGAAAAAATGACAGTCTAACAGCATGCACTTACCACACAAAGTTCTCATTAACCTGGTGTATTCTGTAAAACCCTGATCAAGGACGAGATTTCAAAAGTGTTTACCAGTCCCAAGTGGGACTCTTATATATTCAAACAGTGCCCTTATTCTTCTCTAATTTCCTTGTTTCTGTCCTTGTTCTTGTTGTTGACAGTTACGTGAAAGCGGAGCAAATTTTAGTACACAATCCAGTTCAAATCAGGCTGCCCGATCTTTCACACTTTTTCCTATTGAATGTAAATGGAGCCGTGCCCCCTTTTTGTCTATGGCCTGAACTTTTCTCTTCAAAGAAAAGAGGTAAACTGAAAACTCTAGTTCAGGGTGTTACAGTTGAAGTAACGGCTACAACAGGACACATTCATTGCTGCAACCAAGACAGGGGGTGGAAGGAATGTGTCAACAGAACTCGGGCACAAAAGAGGAAAAAATCCCACTTATGTTCTGCAAGTTTGTTCTCTAAATATTAGCTCTTTCCACTGCTTACCCGTGTTGTATAGGGGGAGCCTGCCTCTTGGACCCTGCCTAGTGATTCCTGCACTCTGACCCTAAGGGGGGGGTCAGTCACTAAAAGAGATTTGGCCGCAATATTATATTTAACCTAACGATTTCCTTCCAGGACTCCCTCACGTAATCTTATCCAAATACACCTGTATATACCATAGGTATTAGCAACCATCCACACAGCATATTGCACTATTTCACATATAAGTCAGCATAATCACAAATGAAAACAGAGAACACAACAGCACAACCTCCGCCACACAATCTGATTAGCTAAGAATGCTTCAGGAGAGAGAAAACACATCCATGGCTTTACTCTCCTCTCCTCAAATGAGTTTCCAGTGTTTGAACATTAGTTTGACCGTTAGGGCACTAGCTGTTTAACAGATCAATGTAATAAGCCTTATGTCTACAAAGCTGCATGCTCAAGCTAAAGAGCCTAGAGTCAAAACAATGAACATTCTTTAATTTGACAGAAATAGCAAGGATTATATCCCAGACATGCAAACTCTATATTTCTTATCTGGGGGCAATTTCTAAACAATCAATAGAATGAAAATAATCTAGAAATGAAGTAAAAAATAGAGTAAAGACAACAATATTTAATTTGTAAGACAGATGATGTTGTCTCTATCTACTTTTTTCCATATTGTGAAAACACACTTTCAAACTCCCCATGCATTCTGTACGTTTGATTAAAAAATTCTGATAACGCCCATAATTTCTCACGAAAAAAAATCACATCTTATCCAAGAGGTTAACAGTAATCATTCTTTTGGGTGTGAAAATATGCAGCTTTTCAACCTTTCGCTGCCCTCTCCAAACTTTCCCACTTAACTAAAAGAAATGTTGACATCTGCTCACATATAAATCTCTCTTGACAGACAGGGAGAATGTTAAACATGCCTCTCTGAATACATCAAATATGAACATTGACAGGATGATGGATTTTGAACAACAGAAATTATTTTCTGTAAAGAAACAAGCTGTTGAAATTATATTTAGAATTACATAATACAAAAGTATGCTAATAAAGTGTCATTCTTTTAGCTTTTTACAGAAGCCTTGGTAGTATCCATAGCTGGCAATTTCACAATTGCTATGAATACAACAGTCACTTACCAGAGGAAGTTATTCCTTATATAAGCTAATGTATTTATAATCAATCCAAAAGTGGCACAACTTGCGTCATCTGATCACAGGTCAACAATTGTGTGACAAAAAAAGTGATTTTCAGTCATTTCCCATCACGGATAAAGTTTCATTATCTCAATCACTCTCTTTCCATTATTCTCGAATGTAGATTTCACGGCTTATTTCTGTAATTTTCAGGTGACTTTGTCATCTGATACCTGGTCCATATTCACAATTCTCTGCTAAAAATGTTATAAACTGTCACTCCCTACTGAAAAAGATCATCTATCTCAATTGCTCAGTTGCTATTATTTTTAAATGTCAAACAATCTGTTGGTATTTGGATGACATTAAAAAAATCGAGCTCGCAACGTGTAACCAGCATTCCTGTCTAGTTTCCCTTGACCTGTAGTAACATGTTCAAATACATCTAGTAAGTAATCAAGTAAATCTTGTTTGCGAACTTAACTGTTCATTCTTAACCACAGTGTATTTCAATACTTGGTATTTTCTTCTTCTAAGCTCACGTATCCATTCCACTCCTTGTAACCAGAGAGAGCATTATTTAGTTCCAGTAGTCAAGCATAGGCAACTTGCTCAATTCTTCATCAGGGTGTTTCCAAAAAAAAGATGTCACAAGCCATCCATGTCACTGGAAGTAACATGCCCTTTTTCTGCCAAATCCAGAACAATACAAATGTTTCTTTGTATGTCTCTTAAAATGTTCTCCCTCCATCTAGGACAGGTGATATATGATATACCTTTCGTTTAATCTTATAAATGTCAGTGTATTCACATACCAACAACCTTGAGTAATTCCATGAATTTGTGTCCAAAAAGTTTCAATTTCTGGGTAAGAAACACAGAAAGTCCACTTCAGCAGTAATACATATTATCACTTCTCATTATTCATACATCAAGGAAAAACAGGAGGCTTGCTGACAAGTTTTCCCATGAGCTGCACATAACAAGGCCCTAGGGACTGTACAGGCTGCTAGTATATGTCATCCATACTCATTAGAAGTGTAACCAGCTGGAGGGAGGACTATCTCAACACACCATCACATTAGATACAATTAGATGTTCTAGTGTGCATGTTATCAAGCCAGACCAATGGTTTTTTATTCCTTCTTGTCGTAACACTTGAACTTCCTCACTTTCAACTGCAATCTCTTTTCACAGAGCGCTGCCATCACAATGGAAATGAATTCTAACAGTCAGCAACTGTTTATTCCAATATGGAGCATCAGCAGTGAAATTAGAAAATGTGACTTATTCTTTCTTCTTCTTAATTATTCCTGGCTAACAAGTGACATCCTTTGTTGAACTCTGCTTAGGCAGTCACTTAGTATTCCTTTTATCAGTATGGTCTTATCTGTCTGTTGTCTGAGATACTATCTTTGTCTTGGCTCCATGTCTCTAGTGCTTCAGGCTTTCCTCATGACTTGGGTAGGTGTTAGACACTCAGGTGTACACTTTTCTCTTGGCCTCTCTCCTTTAATTCTTTCCTTCCTGTGCAACAAAACGCTCAATGTGGCAAGGATCTGTCCTTTTTTGCTAATGCAATATAGCGTTTTATTCAATTATGCATATAAGAATATCACTTCCTCCCATGCTGGTGTTTTAACCTGTGGTGTGTGTAAACATACATTCATCCAGGTGAACAGTCCATTCAAGCCTGCATAGTTTATATCATAAACGGATTATAATTCCGCTGACAGAAATGTGTGTCATATGTCATGCCCATAGCCTGCATCTGCTACAGAATAATCACAAAGCAATATTTCCCTTGCAAACATACAAGGATAGCCAGTGAATAGCAACGGCAATAAATGATATTTGCCGGTAAATAAGCAAGTCAAAAAGGTTGATAACTATATATTTACATGCTTTAGAGTAACAACAAGTTAACTTTATTTCAGTACCAGTTGTATTCAGAACTTTTAACAAGTAAAAAAATAGAAAACAAAAATTGTTTTAATCTATCGAGTCCAACATCCCTTAACATAAGTGTTTTACTTATAATTTCACAATGAACTTCACCCAATGCGGAGAGGCTTCCCAAACAAACAAACGCAGTTTAAGGGAACAGCTATGTCACATACCTTACACTCATTAAGCAGAGATCTAACATCAGTCACTGATATAAACTCAACTCTTACTATTCAAAAACACAACAAAGTTTACCTTAAAGGCTACAATATCCACTTCTTATAAAAATTCCCAAAACTGTTCCAGTTGTTGTTATTCCTCCTCCATGCTCAACACACAACTTACTACTGCAAGCTACACAAAGGAGTGTGCCACCAAGACAGGGAGTGCTAACTGATTTGAGACCACTCCACACTATGGCTGCTGAGATCGCAATCTAGATAGCTTGTGCGTGGTCTAACTTTGATGCAATTACATTCCAGGGTGAGATATAATGGCTCTGATCACAGCAGGCACAATCCTCAGGCTATGCTCTCCTACTACTCCCTTCAACAGATGTTTGGCTCCAGCTGGGCAAGTCTGTCTGTGAAAGTTTCTATTTTTAAACTGTTTGTCTTTCCCTTAACTTCTGGAGATGAGATGAGCTAAAAACCTGCCACGTTTCTTTTCTTCAGAAAACTGCTCAGATGAATGCTGGTATAATGCAATATTTTTAACCGGATTCACTAGCATACATTTACTGGTTCACCAATGTTTCACTAATGCTTAATACATGGAGGGTAAAATGTATATCAGTAAGTTTGGGTTAACTTACAAGTCAAGCTATATAATATATACTGTAAGTTTTAATTTTTGTAAATTTTGATCACATTTGTTGAATTAATAACCTCAATCTTTTGGCATACATGAAACACTTTTTCCAAAGACATGTATGGAAAGCAGTTTATCTCTCCCTCCAAAAAAAAAACTTAATGACATTGGATCTGCCAAGAATGAATATATCAAAAGAAATGCTAAGTACTGATTAAGTTGACAAGTAAAAATATGGCAGACAGACATATTAGTATACATGACATTTTTTCTAAGAAGGAAAAAAACAACAAAACAAATATAGTGCCACATGTGTAAATGATGTTCAGTTAAGCTCGTTTCAGATGTATTTTCTAATGTATTTCCCTGAAAATTAAACCCCTTTAAAAAGACAATCAAATTTATAAAATAGTACATTAGTACATATAGACAAGTGACTTGTTATTTCCTACCTAATGTCTCCTGACAGACATAAAGTATGTCCTTAATGATGACAGGGATGTGTAAGAAGCGATAATTTGTCCAATGTCTCACGAGAGCTGTCTCCAAGCTTGGCACTGATTGTATTCCAACATGAACAAGAATCATATACAGCAATCTCTTGTACAACTATATTTAAAATGTCAAATATCTTGAACTGATCTGTTGTTGTTTTGAACACAGCAAGGTTACAGAAGTAAAACCTACTTGTTTTGGATTGGAGAGACTATGTACTACATTTACAAGAATATAAAACTCAAAGGTGACAAAGTACAGGCAGAGTTTGTTTATGAAAGGACAAGTTCAACATTATAATATGTTTCCATTAATAATAAAGCTTGCTTTCAAAATTGACTTATTGCCAACCTTTACACAAACTTAATTTCATAAACGATGTTTCACCTTTCACTGCTTTAAATGCTGTTGTACCCCTAGTATTGAAAATGCCACCCTGGCCCCGTCCCTCACGACTTTGATATAGCTAGACAGTACAATGAAGGGGTCTACTTCAAAGGCAGCACATACAAAACATCTCATATCTGGACCAAGATCAGTCTCCATTTCTAGCATTCTTTTATGTAATCTTACAAAATCTGGCGACACAATCATCAGAGAGCTCATTTTTTGACAATTTCATTACATAGTGTAAAGGGTGATATGAAAATTCACAATTCCGTCTCAAATGTATGTTAAATGAAGTGGTTGTGTACATAGCTATTTTGTCACAATGCAAGTCAATGGAGAACAAGATTGAGGATTGTAGAAGTCATTCTACCCAAATAAACCTCATAGAAGATTAGTAACCTCAATTTTTTTCAAAGGTGCCGCATCTCAGCAGTATCTTGTATTTACTTTTGAAGTTTTGTTTGTAAACAGTTCTCATTCCCCTGGACATTGAGCAGTTAAGCATAAATAATTTCAAATCAAAAGATGAAAATACAGACAAGAAAATAAAACAACATATACAGGCAGTTCTGGGTTATAATTTTCCCAAAGAAGCCAAAGTAGTAGTGAGGTTGCCACTGGGATCCTATACAGTCGGTCGGTCCAATCCAATGTTATCAATGTGTTCATCAAAGCCATATTTTCTACATGAATTCATAGGGACAAATTGCTTTGTAAAAAAAGGTTGGATGAAATAACAATCCTCTTTTATTGGCCCTCTATTCAGTGATAAGGCCTGTCTATATGATAAGATCCTGAATACTGGTAGTATAGAATGTTTGAAATAACTATTGTGACAGGTTAAATATTCATAGAAAAAATGTACAAAATGAGTTACTCTTAAGGTTAAAAGTTTTTTTCCAGTATTAAAGTTTATGCTATTCTGTGGTTATCTGTAGTAGACAATATGATACCAATTTTTAATCTAAAATTATCTGATTGCTGTCAATTCAATGGATTAAATAAAATCTGTACTGTCAAGTGGCCAGGATACACCAGGAAACCCCATAGTAAAATATCCACAGAACCACCATAGTCCATTATTAATCTAAGACTGATTTTCACATCATATTTCCTACAAAAATTACTTTATCACATTTTATCAAACTTAATTCATATAATTGTGTGTGTGTGATTCATATTCAACTGCTTGCAATATCCTGCTTCTTAAAATATTTTAAATTTTTACATTTTCATATATTCCCTTTATTTCCTCTTTACCAACAGCTGGTACATCACATTCAAGTCTTTAATTTAAAAACTTCAAATCAAAGTATTCACCTACTAATTCAAGCAAATACCATGCTCACCCAACAATTCATCACTAAAAGAAACTAAAAGCTACACAACTCTAATCAAATACAGGAAACTCACCAATGATTGCTTCTGTGTTACTTCAACACTAAAATCTGTTTGCCTTTTTTAATTCTTAAAACTGTGTAAGATTTCTCGTTTCATGCAATATTAACCACTACTGTCACCTTCTTTGTAAGACACCATCAACTGTGGCTGACGGAAAGACAAATGAGCGAGGACGTATTTCAGGACTCGTGTCCACGATTGGTACGGGGTTAGTGGCATCTGCCACAAGACCAAAAGTTTATCAGATCAATTTTTCATGCACGTGCCACTTACTATTTCATGGGTAAGATAAAACATCATAAGACAAAAGAAAAAATCAGATTGCAAATTTTTCCATGCTGATGATTTTGATCATGTCAAAATGACGCCATTAGGACATATTTTCATGCATGACAAACAGCATTGTTTTTTTCTTGTCCAATGTGTATAAAAATGTATAAAAAATACTGACTACTGATTACACAGACCTGTGGTCAGCAAAGGGGGGAGGGGGTTAAGTGACTACTTACATTTTGTGGAAGTTGCCCAAACCTGAGAAATGACACAGACCTTAGATCAAAATTTTAATTCAGAGTTGATCTTTTCAGCCAGGACCATGGATCTTCTAAACCTTCCAATCCCCTCTGCCTACAAGTCTGATATATCAGAAATAAATAAGGTATCTGAAAATAAATTGATATGAACCAAAACGTATCCCTTAATAATATCAGGAAGGACCTTCTTGGTCATACTCAACAACTATTTTTAGCATTATTATTTTTCCCCACCTTCCATAAGTAAAATACATCATCATCCTCATGAACATAATAACAGAGTTCAATCTAGGTCAAAGGATTACAAACTAAAAAATAAATGTGGTCAATAAAATCTGACTTGTTCTTTTACATATAAATTTACATAATTTCAATCCAGCCGCACGTAACTTTTAAATTATCAACAATATGACACAGGTGAGAGGAGCATTATGAAAGAGGGTACTTATTAACTACAACAAAGCAAAGCAAAGAAAAGAAAAGAAAAGAAAAAAAACACACATTACGATTTTTACTTTATATCCAATCAGGACCCCTATGTTAATCACTGTCACCCTCCCACTGCAGTATTTTGTTCTGTGCTCTCTCTCTCTCAGTGATTTATGACCATACAAAACAGGTAAATCTGACAGGTGAGAATTAATCATAAAAGAAGGTTTAAGGACAAGACTAAGGTGAAAGACTCCAATTCAATCCCATATATTTTATCTATATAAAGAAATTATAATGTACAAAGGAGGAATTTCTCCTTATACCATAATTTATTACTACTTGTGTCTAGCTATTCACTTAGCCAGTGTACAAGAAACTTATTACAATATTACTCAATTTGTGTGATGTTTTAGTGAAAAAGAAAACAAGTCAGCCTTATGATATAACAGTGTATGGATGCCTAGATTTTACATGCACATTGACACAACTACAAAATTGTTCTTGTCAGCAAAATGCATCTTATGATCACAGACTGTATAATTTAACCTTCATCTTGAAACCACACAATTCATGCTTCACGGTCTGTAATTATTTCCTGTAGTTTTCACGGTTTGCTGAAAACAACTACATTTTTC